CTCCCTTTTTATTTTCTCCGTGTGCAACTCCACCTGCCCAAGTCGGCAGAGCACGACCTCCAACTCCAACCTACCTTTTCCAGACCCTGCAAGATCTTCCCTCCTCCTCCTCCTCCTCCTCCTCTTCCCCTCCCACAGCCCCTTCCCCACCTCCGCGGCGTTTTCCAAACTCCAGTGGCCCGTCCCTGCCCCGTAGGTGCCCCTTTCCCCCCCGTTTTGATGCCATTCCATGGATTTAAGGTATGTTGTACATACTGCCCAGAGTTGTCTTGCAAGTTAAGGCTTCCCTTTACTATAAGACTATAAATAATAAAAAAAGCCAAAAATCCACTTATTTTATCCTCCCCTGTGGTCACCGTGTGTTCTTGGAGTGGGGAAAGTAGTGCCACCGGGGCTGGACACGGTGTCACCTCCTGCCCCATGTCCCCAGGGCCACCAGCACACGGCAGGTGTCACTCGTGGTTTATTGATGCCAAAAAGCTCTGCCACAGCCCGTGTCCTGCCCTGGCCCCGGCTGGGATGGCAGCAGGACACGGAGCAGGCTGGATTTTGGTATTGCTAGCACCCTGAGGACCTGGCTATGCCTGGCCATGCCACGGGGATGGGCTGTGTCACACTGTCCCGGGGCAGTGGGACCCCCTTAGTCGGCAGCAGGTGCCGGATCCAGGCTGGGCACGGGATACTGCAGGAAGTACGTCACTGCCCTCGCCACCTTCTCCGGGGCGATGTTGTAGACAGGGTGTGTGGGCTGCTGTGGGGGAGAGAGGGATGGAGGAGGTTAATCATGGAATCCTGGAATGGTTTGGGGTCAAAAAGAACTTAAGGATAATCTAGTCCAACCCACTGGGGGCAGGGACGCCTTCCACTAGCCCCATTGAACCTGGCCTGGAACACTTCCAGGGATGGAGCAGCCACAGCTGCTCTGGGCAGTCTGTGCCAGTGCCTCACCACCCTCATGGGAAATAATTTCTTTCCAATATCCCATCTAAATCTCCCCTTTTCCAATTTGGAGCCATTCTCCCTTGCCCTGCCATGCCATCCCCTTGTCCAAAGTCCCTCTCAGCTATCTTGGAGCCCCTTTAGGCATGGGAAGGGTCTCTAAGCTCTCCCTGGAGCCTTCTCTTCTCCAGCCTGAACCCCATCTCTCTGCCCCTCCATCAGATCTACCTTTCCTGGCACTGTGGAGCCCTGGAAGCTCCACCCTGCACACCCAGCACCTACCAGGCAGTTCTCAGGGACACCCAAGACCACCTCATTGTGGAGGTCTCCACTTCCAAAGTGCTGGGCGATGGCCAGCCCGCTCAGGCAGTAGCAGGTGTGGTAGAAATCCCGGGATCTGAGCACAGGGAGACATTGGGATACTGAGGGGGGAGGTCTGAGGTGCCAGGCAGCCCCCTGTACCCCTGGCACTCACTTTCCTGGCTTATCCAGCAGTCCCCCGGCTGGGCACTGGCAGTCCCGCAACTCCTGCAGTGCCAGCCGGTCGAACATCCAGTGTGCCATGCTGAGCGCCGTGTCACCTGCAAGAGAAACCCATAGAAACACCAGGAAAAGGTGGAACTCCCTTGGAAATGCCACTTCGGTTGGCAGAGGAAGCCATGGGCACTCACCCCCGGCATGGAGTGCCCGATGGATCAGGGGCAGGAGCCCAGCTTGCCAAAAGGAGTAGCACCCATCCACCAGCTTGTTGCAGCGGCCCTGGAATCCACCCTCGAAGCGCATCTGCCTCCCAGTCACCCAGCGCTGCAGGATGGGGTGGAGCCATGTGGGATCAGGGCCCTGCCTAGGGCTGAGCCCCCTGTATCCCACTGAGGGGTCACTCACCAGGAGGCTCCGGAGGTTCAGCAAATGCTCCTGCTTGAGGATGACCAGCGCGGCCATGCCGCAGAAGGTGTAGCCGCCATGCGCCTCCATGCCCGGCACACCGCCGATCCCACCCTCCCAGTTCTGGCACCTGCACAGGAACAGAGTCAGGGTGGCACTGACACCATCCCCTGCCACCCACGTGTCCCCACATCTCACCTGGCGATCCACTCAGCCGTCCCAGCGAAGAGTGTGGGAGTGAGGATATTGGTCAGGGAGGCCACCGAGGCGGCGCAGTAGGCGCTCCTGAGGGTAAAAGGTGCTCAGGATATGAGAGATAGGTGCTCAGGGATAGGGGAAACAGATACTCAGGGATAAGGAAAATGGGTGCTCAGGGTATGGGAGACAGGTGTTGGAGAGAAGAGAAACGGGTGCTCAGGGATAAGGGAGATGGGTGTTCAGGGATGTAGCATGGGATCCCCAAAAGCTCCTGCTGCAGCTCCAGCTTCCCAAAATGACATTGAGTCCCCAAAACAGCACCAGCTCCCCAATGTGGCTCCACATCCCGAAAATGGCACCAGTTCCCCACCATGGCTGCCCAACACAGCACTGGCTCCTAACACTGGCACTGCACCTTGGCACTGGCACCCAAAACAGTACTAGCAGCCCAGAACAGCACCAGCTGCCCAACATGACACCAGCTCCTAACACCAGCCCCCAACCAGAACACCAAGTACTCCGAGATAGCCCTCCACCACAGCACTCCAAAACAGCACCCCTCCATAGCACCACTCCCCAAAACTGCATCTCACCACAGCACTGTTCCCCGAAATGTCACTGGTACCCCAGCACAGCACCATGTACCCAAAGTGGTTCCCAACACAGCAGCAGCTCCCATGTGGAACCAGCTCCTGACACTGCCCCCCTGCCACAGCACTCGCTTTTTTTTCTGCCCCCCTGCCACAGCACTGGCCCCCCAAAACAGAACTGGCTCCCCAAAACTGCATCCTGCCATGGCACTGGCTCCCCAAAATGGCACCAGCTCCTGACCCTGTCCCCCTCCTCAGCACTCCAAAATTGCACTGGCTCCATACCACAGCACTGGCTCCCCAAAACTGTATCCCAACACGGCACTGTCTCCCCAGCACAGCACCAGCTCTCTTGGCACCAGCTCCCCACCACAGCACCCACTTCCCAAAATGACACCAGCTCCCCAAAACCATACCAGCTCCCAGCACTGACTCCTCAGAAGTGCCTTAGACCCTCCAAACAGCCCTGATCACCCCTCCAACAGCCCTCACTCACCTGACATCCACCTCTCCACCCACATGCATGAGGAAGGAGCCATCGGGCTGCTTCAGCGAGTGTAGATATTCCATCAGCTTCTTCCTGCGGGAGTGAGTGGCTGTGAGCGGGGGGACATGCACCCCACTTTCCCCCGTGGACCCTCCCAAACCCCCCATACCTGTCAATGACATCAAAAGCCTCCTCCGTGCCGATGATGCAGAGCGCGTTGACAGCAGCATAGGTGGGGGCGAGATGCGGGTGGTGGCCAGCGCCCCCAAACCCACCCTGGGGGCTCTGGCAGCGCTTCAGGAACTGGCAGACACTGCAGGGGGAGGTAAGGAAGGGGCTCAGTGTCACCCCAGCAGGGTGACACGACCCCTCCCAGTGCCATGAACCCCCCTGTGAGGTCGCAGCCGGGGCGGGGGTCACCCCCCCACTTCCCTGTGTCACGCGGGAGCCGCCGGAAGAATGGGTGGCATTGAGGGGGGCAGGGAGACAAAGCACTCCTTTGCTCCGGGGACAGCGGGAGGTGGCACCACGTGGGGACACTGCCCGTGGTGGGGTCCCCTGCCACAGCTCCCCCCACTTACTCAGAGGCCACTGACTCAGGAATGGGCTCATTCAGCAGCTCCAGGCTGTGCAGGATCCGCCCGGCTGGCATCCAGACGCTGTGGGGACAGAGGGGACAGTGGCACTGGACACGGGGAAGGAGCAAGAGGACAGTGGCATGGGAGTGGCAGCAGGAGTGAGGGGACAGGCAGGAGAGCCCCTGGAGCAGCTGCTCAGGAGCATTGCTGCAGAATGAGTGTCAGCCACGGGCACAAAGGGAATGCTGTGTGCACACCAGGCTGGGAAATGCCTGGTGACAATCCCAGTGGCAACCCTGGAGCAAGGAGTTCACCCCAGTGACAACCCTGGGGCAAGGGGTTCACCCTGGCCAGTGGCTCCACGGAGAGAGATCTGGCATTCCCAGTACCTCGTAGGCTTCCGTGAGCTGTCGGAGCCCTCTCTTCAGGTAATGGAAGTGCTTCTCCCGCTGCAGGACATACCTGGAAGAAAGGGAGGACAGGGCTGGGTAGGCAAAGATGGCATGGAAAAGCATGGGGACAATGGCAGGAAGGGCAAGATCCCACCCCGGCGCCCACTGGAGTTGCTGGTTTTTGGGGGGATGGGAGTTATTTATGGTTATTGGGAATTTTGGGGACTCACTGTGAGGAGTGACGGTTTGTCTTGTAGGCATCATAGACCTCCTGCACAATGTCCTCCACCTTGGACTTGGAAAAGTGGGAATAAAGACCACCGTGAGCTCTAGGATGCAGCTCCACAGATCCCAAACATGATCCCTGCCAAGCCCCCTGGCTCCTGCTCCATTGCTGGGGTTTATCCAGCTCATGGTCATCATGTTCTCCAGGAAAACCAAAGGAGGAGCTGCCAGGAGCTTTGTGCCTGGGATTATGCCGGAATCCAGCACCAGCCAGTGCTGCTTTCCAAATCCAGCTGGAGTTTGGTTCATCCCAGGAACCCCATAGAAAACACCCTCCTCCCACTCACACCAGGACTAGAATACCCCAGGCCAGGATAATTCTCCAGGAAATCCCCTGGAATCAGCCTTGGGGGTGATGAGGGGCAGCACAAGGACTCATATCCGTGGCACTGTGTCCTGCCAGGATGGAACTGAGCAGGAACCCCCAGGAAACACTCAGTCACATTTTACCCCATTTCAACGCCCAGGGGAGCCACCACAGGGCTGGGCCAGGACACAGGCAGGGACAGAGGGGGCCCAGCTGCCCCCCAGGAGCCCTCACCCTCCTCAAACTGTTTCTGGGGGACATGTCACAGCCCCCATGGGTGTTCCCTGGGTACTGCAGTGTCTGGTGGGTGCCAGTCCCCCCACAGCCCCCCGAAATACCAAGTGACGGGGCTGTTGTGACAGAAGGGTGTGGGCCAGCAGCTGTGTGTGGAAACTGGGCCAGGGATTACCCAGTCCCACTGCACTCCAGAGCCCAGCTCCAGACCACCC